AGCTAAATCATCAGCTTCTTGCTGTGTTAGAGCCTCAGCATACACACGAACGATATCTTCCGTGCCGGATGGTCTTTACAAAGAAAAGATAGACTTTAAATGAAATGATCGATTTTTCTTTCTCTTACCGAACAAATGCACGGCCAGATGGATATTTCGAAACAAGCTCATCAATACAATCTTGTAAGTGCGGAGGTGTTACACAACGTCGTTCAGCATCCGTTGTTTGTATCATTGTTCGATCTCGAACTGCCACCTTCAATTGTCGTTGTGGTAGATCATCGTATAGATTTAACCATCCTTCAAGATTTAGATGTAGGATTGAAAGAATCACTTCAGTTGCTAATAAATCAGCTATTGCATCGCCAACAGTTTCGTTAATTATGTTAATGAACGCACGAATTTGGTTTGCAGCTAATCTTTCTTCCACTGTTCGTCTAAATCATCTCCCGTCGAATAAATCATCGTACATCAGTGAAGCTTACTTCGGATCTTCAAGTACCATTTTGATTTTACTTTTCAATTCACTACTGAATATGACCTATAGAAATTCGCATATAATTCGTTCATCGTTCTGCAGTTTTATACCGTTCCATGACCATTCGCTTCAAAATAGACCCCAATGTCATAATCAAGTGCTTTATGATGTAAATGCTTGACACCTGTGGGCACACAAGCTACTGGGACATGCTAAAGAAAGATATGGCGATCTTCGAAATGTTGATAAAGAGTTTTTTTACCATTTTGTTGACGAGATAGTCGGTTGACCGACCATTGGCATATGCTGTTTGGATAACACCGATTTTAACATCATCGGCCAGCTTAGCTTCTTTTAATTTCATTGCAAGAAACGAGGCGAATAATACAGAGAATCGATCACCATCAAGCAGGCGAAATTGATTGTTTTTATCAATAAAGAAATAGATCAAACGATCCGCATCGCCATCAATCGAACAGTATTTCGAATAATTCGTCAATGGAATACCATCCGGTGCTTTTTGATAGAGTTTAACATAGTCCGCACCGCACTGAATCCGAAAAGAAACATCCTTGACAAATTTCTACTCACATTCGCTTACTTTTTCATTCAAATGACCACGTGTTCCATCGTTGAAAATCTCAATATGAATATATTTCGCTAATGTTTGACGCATGTATGCTAATTTCATAGCACCGATTCCATTCGCAGCATCGATAGCAAGTGGTTCGAATCGTTGAATATTCGGTGTCATCTAAAATGCTAAACACATCGAAAAGAAAAATATAGGCAACCATCTCACTTCGATCAAGTTTTGAAAAGCTGTGCATAGTTTATCGAAATATCCAGCTTCGGTATAATGCCCATAGGTACCATTGTCATTGTAACAACGAACAGCATAGTGAAGTTGTGGTGTTGTCATCAATTCTAATCGAACGAAAGAATGTCTGCTTATACTTTCAGTTTTTCTTCTTACCGAAATCCATAATCGTTGTATAAAACGCTTGAGCAGCTCGCTTAACTATACTTGCTAATAGTGGACTACTCTGTCTAAAGAAAAATTTGATCTATCGACTCATAAAGAATGAATTGAACTTTGCAACAAACCGAGTATCATAAGCAATAGCAACGATTCCTTCATCATTGGCTTGGATATTCAGTTGGTTCATCAAGTTTTCGAGATAATCCGAAAGAATATGGATGTCATCGCTACGTCAAACAAAATTTCCTGATAATCATTTCAATTTTCTTATGCACAATGTCAATTACTCGAGAACGGACAGATTATTAGCGTAAACTTCCCACGCTTGTTCTAACATTTCACCATACGGATCAATTAATTTAACACCATTGTCGTATTCAGGATTATGTGAGGCAGTGATCATCGCGCCAACACAAGCTGTGAAACATAAAATCCTTACTTATAAATCAATGAAGTTACGAAAGTTAACCTCGTTTAACTTTGGATCGAAATGCAGCTAGAATTCCAATTCGAATCATAATCCATGGAAGTGTATCAGCTCGAGCGCGAAAGCCTGCTGTTCCATAACCCATCACAATCCCAGCAGGTTTTGGATACTCCATCAGCAATGTAGCGAGTTTCTCTTTCGCAATGTGCGTCATGACTATTTAGTCGATCTAAAATAAATATAAAATCATCATCGAATTATATTTGTGTTGATAATCTTTAAACAAACAAAACTATGTGTGCGTTTAAATTATAACGGAAGAAAAGGATCAATCAAAGGGACTGTTCGTGCTATCTATTTTGAGGCAACGTTGATTTTCATTGCGTATTTCAAGTTATTATCACCATTCAATCCAGCTTCAATTTGATCTCCACGTTTTACCGCACCTACACCAGCTGGTGTACCAGTCAGAATCAAATCTCCATGTTCTAAGGTGATATACTTGGAAATATAAGCGATGAGATCAGGAACAGAAAAAATCATATCCCGTGTATGACCATTTTGTCTCATTTTTCCATTCACACTTAGCCAAATATTTACGGATGACGAGAGACTGATTTGGTTTTTATCGATAAAATCTCCGCATGGACATGATGTATCGAAACCTTTGGCTAATAACCACGGATGCCCTTGTTTTTTTAATTGATCTTGAATTTTCCTGCCGGTCATATCGAGTGCAAGACAATAACCACCAATACTCTTTTCCGCCTGTTCTTTCGATACATTTCGACATTGTTGATCAATGATTACACCTAATTCAACTTCATGATGAAGTTCGTCCCATTCCGATGGAATCTAATCGAATAGAAAAACTCGTATGTATCGAAGATCTGTTTGTCTATCATGTTTCATACTTGAATTTCATTCGGTGGTGCCACGAAAGCACTCGGAGGCTTCATGAAAATCATTGGTTTAGTTGGTACAGTCTGAATAAACGAAGTTTTCTTAGAAAAAAACAACGAAAATCAAAGTGGTTTATTATATTACATTGCCCAATTCACTTGCATGTTCGCTGAAAAAGTTAAATAGAGTTCAAATTTTCTTCATTTCAAAGTATTTCTTCTACCTATAATTTCGTCCGATACAAATGATTTTTTTGCAAATCGATCGAAAGTTTTTCAATGTTCCTGCCATTATCGAAAGTGCTTATCTTTCTTTTTGTTCGATCGATCCGTTTAAATTCCATCTTAATGTCATCTCACCGTCGCGTCTACCAGCAATTTGATTGACGCATTCAATCGATCAATTGCAACGAAGATAGATGTCTTCTTCTTCTTCAACTGTTTACTCGTCAATCAATTCTTTTGATTAGTAGTCAACATGGAATCAACTAGTTCGAATGTAAATATCAAGAAAAGTGAATTTTCGAGGGAAAATCCATTGAATATTTCGCTTTTAGAGTCAAGTACGAGAAAATTTAGTGCTTTCTGTCTGGCCTAACTGCAAGAACCTATTGACAATTGATCCGACTTGTTTAGCAGCTTCCGTATGACGAGTGTTTATCGTATACGAGTATTTATTTATTTGAATGTATAGCTATGGCTTCGAACACAAGGGTATTCGTATTCAATTGTCAATGCCAATCGGCAATTATCATTGATCATCGGTAATCTATTTATTTTTCTATTTTAAATACGATTTCTCACCTGAAGTATACAATAGGAACTTATCCGACATTACATGATGTTATGAATAAGAAGCATTATGTTGGTTTTGATGCTATATATCAATACAGTCGTCAATCAGATGTAAATATTTTATATTGAGCTATGAAATCCAAGTGAATACATGTTTGTGTGGTTTAGCCATCGGCTGATGAACTTGCTCTATTAGCGGCTTTCAAACGATTGTTTGTTCCAGCATTTGTATGTTCTTATGGGTATATCGTATATCAAACTAAGTTCGTTGTCTTTTGTTCGTCACAGATGCACGCGCAATGGATTGACGAAACGAACAAACCATCGGTTCATACTTTATATCACTATACAATTGGTTTACCTAGTAGTTTATTTTACATACGTCAAAAGTTCTCGTCAGCCCGCGTATGGCTTAATCTAATTCGTAATCGATGTTCGTATTCTCACGAAGAACAGAACCGAGTGAGAAAATCAATCTGTTTGTTTTTCTCGACTGAATTATTTTCAATAGATATATACAGATGCTGATCGATGTTTAGCAATACTTAACAATGAATTAGAGAAACATAATCAGCCGTACATCGGTGGAGAAAAGTAAGGAGTAAAAAGAAGATCTTCGACAATCAATAATTTGTTTTGTGAATTAGATTTTCACTTATTGATGCTTGGGTTAGTGCTCATCTTCTCGTCCTTGTTCGTCATACATTGGAAAAATCTCGTTTACGAATGTTACTGGTTCGATATGCTCGTCTTGTTGATTATATTCAACGAATCGATGAAGAACAATCATTACTATTAAAAGAGAATGTCACGCAGACTCTTTTATCTTCATCGTCATCAGAAAATTCATTCGATACTGCTTCGATTCTATACGTAGTGTCACAAGTGATCTCATTCTCAATTTTCCTATTCATGTTAACAAAAATTGGTGCAAATTATCAAACGCAAACGATTACATCCTAAATCTCTCTTTTCTTTCCTTAACGGAATACAGTGTTTGTCGATAGATAGAAAGCATGAAACGAATATTCTAGTAATAATTAGAACTTTTTATTTCGAAATAAATCATTAATACATTTTGGCAACCTGAGACATAAACAGCGACATCTGTGTCCATCGACTTACTTTCAAGAACCAATTAAACGAGCGTTTCAGGTCTTTGTTTGCTATTCTTTGTTAGATTTTTTATCTTTTTCAACTAACTACGGCATAAGTATGAGTCATCTACAGATTTTCTTCGTGATGAAAACGTCAGCTGATTTGAATTGCCTTCATAAATATTTTCTATTGTCGTATGATAAGTTTTGTGTAGATAATATTTATATGAATGCAAAACATTCTTGTCATATGCAATTTCTTTTTAGAATTGACACAAATCAAAAGCTTTTTTCTGTTTGAAGAATACTAACTGCTTGAATGTCCTATGTATCATCCATTGAACTACGCAAAGTCCGACCTGAAGCTGTCAAGTAAAAGAAGTTCAATGAATCTCGTTTATCTCAGATCGATTTCTTTAGCGAGAAGAGTGTAGTCGAATCGGTCGTAAATCTATTGCATGACGTTGTCGAGAAAGTTCCACAAGTAAAGACTTGCTACGTAACTCCAACCGATAAATGTGCACATTGAATTTCTTTAGGCTTATGCAATCTCTTCACGACCGATAAACAGCGAGCAATTAGAACCGATTGAATGGGTCCGTTTTCTTTCGAATGCACATGAGTGGCATTCATCAATACGAAATGATACATTGGTTCTGTTAATTGCCTATAAAAGTGGCTTAACATTCTGGACAATTGAAAGTAATGGTATAGCAAATGAACTGTTTTCGATTCGGGAACATAACATTTGCTCGGCATGTCTGCTACATCAAAAATCTACTCAAGATGATCCTTATGAATCACTTCGACCATTGATTGCATTTGCTAAATCAGCCGGACCACCATCCATTCAAATTCGATCGTTGAAAACTGATCAGCAAATGATTAAAATTCTCACTTTACCTGGTAATACATTGCAAAATGAACCAGTCTTGGTCGAATCCAATAATTCTGTTCTTATCTGTGCCACGCACACATTCATTATTGGTTATGATCTGATTAAATTCGATGAAAAGTTCTTTCTTGCCAATCTTTATTCATCCATACCATTGTCACTAGCAACACGATGGTTAGCATTTGTCGATTATCGTTTGAACTTAGTTCATCAATCGTCAGGTGGAATCAATGGAAACATAAGTGAACAGCATGCGTCGTATACAGGTGTGATGTTGAATGCAGCTAAATCTTTGTCGAAAAGCGTTGTGAAGATCGGAGAGAGTGTACTTGGTTATAGTGGACAACAAGGTACTAATTCGAGTTTGAATGAAAAATCGTCACCACCCAAACAACAACTGTTAGCAGCAATGCACAATGGCACGAATGGTAATGGAACAAATTCTTCACGTCACCGACATGGGTCGGGTAAAGAAGAACCACAAGGAGGAATTGTGACTATAATTGATACAGTTAAATTGTTTGGAGTAAGAAGATAAGATTTGATTGAAAGTTTATTCGATATTTGTCGTTCGTTTCAGTCATCTGTTCATGATGAAAAACAAAATTGGATTATTGCTCATTTTCAAGCTCATACAGAACCGATTGGATATTTACAATTCAATCCAAGTGGTCATTTACTTGTCACCTGTGATACGAGTGGACATTATTTTAATGTCTTAGAAATTCAAGCATCTCCCTACCGATGTACAAGAACATACATCAGACATCTATATACTTTATTTCGTGGTGATACCGATTGTCGAGGTAAAACAAAACTAGGATGCAATTTCATCACGTTTATCTTTTATTTTAGTGTCACATATTACATTTACAACTGATAGTCGATGGCTTGCTGTGTCAACAAAACGAGGAACAACGCATTTGTTTGCAATCAATCCATACGGAGGTAAATTTGCCTGGAATATGTGAAAACTAGAAGTCCATTGATTTATTTACAGGTGCTGTGAACGTTCGAAGTCATACGAAAAACCATGTTGTTAATAAAGCTAGTCGATATCACCGTACTGCTGGCTTAGAAGACCAATCATCACGTCACACGAATACCAATGGAACTGATAATGGTTCGAAAGATATTTCCTTAAATCCTTCCACAAATCTATCGTTCAATGCAGTCAATGGCCATGGTAATCATTGCTCACCATCAACACGTGCAAAACGAACACATGATGAAGTGATTTTTTCAACAGCAGTTGCAATTATTCGACAACCGACAGACAATTTCGTCACGGGTCTCAGCGCGCCATTCAATACCGATTCGTTGTGTATAGCAACAATATTTGGCATTTCACGTGGTTTTCTCAATCCAGAAGATATGATCAATCAACAAGAGCATGTTCCACGTGCCTGCAGTTCATTGTATATCATTAGTTGGTATGGCCGATTGATCGAATACGTTCTCGAACCTGTGCCAGGTATATCATGTTCATACACAATGTTTTGTTACTGAATATATCTGTTCTGATTAGATACAAGTAAGCATGGTACACGTATAACATCGGAAACTCCACTTGCAGTGAAAGTTTCTCCCAAAGCTCAATGGCCACTTCAAAGGTAATAGTGAAATAGATGATTATGAATCAATGTGCAGAGTAACTATGTTGATTTAGATTACTTACATGGCCAGAAGTTCGAATGTCAGTTGCTGATTCATTTCTATCGCAAGGAAATCGACCAACATCAGCGAATAAAGCGCATTCGAAAGATGATTGGCTTCGACAAGTAGCATTCGCATTTTAGCTATATAATACATTCGAAATGATTTACTTATATAGGTAGAAATGAATACACATGTTGCTCCACATCGTCGTCTATGGATGGGACCTCAATTTCATTTTAAACATTATTCGGAAGCGACCGTTAGTGTTTGTCTTCCGAATTCTAACGTGTGTACAGCTGATTCACCGCAAACATCGATGAATATCGTTGAAGCTGATTTAAAAAGTTTACCGTGCGTTAGATCACCATTCTTTTCAACCAAAAAGTAATTGAACTGTTATTATAGAATGCAATGGTCGAAATCGACACCGGTTCACGTGCCAAACTCACAAAAAGAAGTCGCTCCTGCTTTCATTGAAGTTGGTTCTGGTAGCTTTCAAGTAAACATTGGGAGAAGAAAATTTCAATGCTTTGAATGAATGATATATCTACCCTTTTAGGATGCACCATCTTTGAGTGTCTATGGAAGTTCATTGGATAGTCTAAAATCTGATTTTGAAGTTGAATTGATGGAAAAATTAGCTGACGCTGCCGTGGACATCTCTTTACGAATTAGTTCGTTGATTTGTTTGCCTTTCGTGTATATAGAAACTCTTATCTGTTTATCTTTAGATGGTACTATCGATCCAATAGATTCGTTGACATCATCTTCATGTAGTAGTACGGTTACACGTACGTTACCATCTAATAATTCAATGGAAAACATGATTCCATTTCCTGATACAGGTGACCCGGCTGATTAAAAAGTGTTGTTGTTTTTTATATTTGCCCATATAACATTCATACCTCAGGTCTATTACCATCCGTTATCTATTTTATTTGGGAAAAGGGCGGAACTATATATATATTTCTTTGTACACCCGGTTTTTGTGCATGTCTAAAGACTACTCTGTCTAGATTTCTTTGCAGAGACTAAAAATCTAGAGAACAGTGTGATAAGTGATTGGGGGATCGTAGACTTGTTTCAACAGTCTCTAACTGATCATCTCCAACCCCCGTCGAATGTATCTGTCGCTTTTTTCTCTTTGCTAAATGTATTTACGTTTTCTTTGTTTCGTTCTTTCTTGCACTTTTGTACATATGAAACTATGATATATTTCTTCTTTATTCTTTAATAAAACCACACAAGCATATATTTATTCAGAGTGAAGGTGAATATGAAGATTTTTTTTACCAATGTGCTAAAAACAACTGCAACTATGAACAAATATAGATAATGAGAAGTTCATCTTTAGGTGCTAGATTCTTGACAAAAGATTCTCATCATTGTTAGTTGCTTTAATGAGTATCTTGAAGTTCTCGAATTTCTTCATTCTACTCCACATATGTAAAACGAACGTTCTCCGCGATTATTTGTAGACTTCGAGGTACTTGTCACGTACCTGCGTTCTATTTTTTGTAGAAATGACGTCGTAGCTGGATATCATGAACTATTTGAGTTCATAACCGAGTGATATTACATACTGAAAAGCGTGTTCGTACATTGTGAACTGAATTGAATTAGTCTTATGTCAACTGTGACATACACGCATCGTTTGTCGTGCATTTAATAATCGAATTGCCGAGTAGCTAAGAAAAGACTATTATTCCGTCGTTATCATAGATGGTGTTGAGTCGATTTTCCGGCTGTCGACTCCTTTTTTTAACTTTAGCACGCAGTGTCTTTTCAACAAGTGACATTGAAAGGCAAAAATATTTTTTCACGTGAATTGTCTGGCTTCGGTAGTGTGTTTGATGAGCATCACAGGAAATCAGAGTAATACATTGGAATTTTATTTCTACGAAGAAGATATATTTTGTTTCTTTTTACAAAATGAATTAATATTTTATATTTATCTTCTCTTTTTTAAAATTTCTGTAAATCAATTCATTTTCTTGTGTTCACTTAGTTCAATGTTTTGTCAGTGTATCGTTTAAGACGTCAGAGTAATCGGGGATTTTTTAGCAACATGAAGTCGTAGAGTTTGCCCTCGGTGGTATGAGTTCCATTGTGGATGAGATTTAGTAGCATTTTCTCCATCTTGTTTGTTGTTTGCAGTCTGGAAAAGAAATTTCTGAAGGGGCTATATGAGAAGAAAAGTTTGTCATCATACTCGGCGAACACGTCGAGCACGTTTCAAAACACCTCCTGAAGCACTGTTAGGCGGAATTGTATACTATAGTAAGGAAAATATGAGATATTTGAATAGGCAAATCGATTTTTTCATTTACCATGATATTGTTCAGAAAACACTCATCGTGATCATTGTCACATTGGCAATTTTGTTCAGTTTGATATGATCGACTGTATTCAGCAGTGAACTTCGTCATTGGTGAGGCGTCACAATCATCAGCTGCAAAGAATTGTATCTATCAACACAATAATAATATCTAAACTCAATTTACCTTCGAATCCTAACGGGCATGGATTTGGTGGATGACAGTAGGCTGGTAATTCTTCGTCGGTTTTCACTTCTGGGCGATTTGGTATTTGCCCATTAGGACTTAGATGTTGTCGACCCTCACCTGCTCCGCCTGATTGTCATAAAACATATCAGATAAACTTCGGTCTGTCACTTCAATGTACACTTTACCTGACACATATTTGTACCCTGTTATTAAGGGGCTATGTATTTCTTGTTCTTCATCACGTGTCAATGCGCTTAAATATTGATCCGAATCATCATCAAATGCCGTGGCAACATTCGGTGCTGGTTCTCCGTAGTCAATCCAATCTGCTCCTTCGCTACTTGAACTCATCATAAGAATTAATACAGCCGTTGTTAATGTTGAGATACCATACCACACGATCATTTTTGTTTTCTTTTTGTGTGTGACGTTTTCCCCAACGGTGTAACGACTGAGATGAAAAACAAGGAAGTTAGTCTAGAAGAGAAAAATAGGAATCTTTTCTCTTTTCTTCTTTCTTTTTTTCTCGTCGTGTTTTGCTCGTTGTTTCTACGAGTTATTCAAGTCCTTTCGATATAGACGAGCGGAAAGAAGCATTAGTTTTTTGTCGATTCTGTCCCAAGAATGAATGTGTTCATGGTAGAAAATGAGAAAAGCAACGATGAAAAATCTATTTGAAGAAGTCAGCAACGACGAATGAGGATAGATGATACAGAATAATGAAAGAAGCTCGACTAGGCATGAAAGAAGAAAATATTCTGCACAGAAAATGAAATAGCAGAAGTATATGAATAAAAAAACTATACGACTAATGGAATTATTGATTTTTATGTCGTTAATATTTAAAAGTAAAAGACCTCAGAGCACCGAATAGATGCAAAACAATGATAAAGCCATAGACATGACTTCTTTCCAACATAGTGGACAACGAATATAAATGTAAAGATGCTCAAAACTACAATCGATTACGAAGAGAATGTCCAAATGACTTAGCTGAGTTCGAGTGAAATAGTTGACATGGCAGTAGTCATCTTACAATAGAAAGATTATTTCGTTTGTGTGAATGTTTTGCAAAATAAGAGATTTGATTCATTCATCTTCGACTGATATATTTCGTTCAATTATATTTCATTTTTGATGACTTCTGTTCATTGAATGTCATACAAACTGCGTTTCATTTATCACTCATACATAGACAAACATACATATACATACACATACACAAAAAAAGTTAACAAAGAACACAAAAAAGTATAAGTTTCTTATTGGTCATGCATACAATTCCCAGAAAAGTCAATGATTTTTGTACAATATCATTTCAGTGTGACTAATTAGATGACATATGTCCGTAGTATTTGATCCGTCTAACTTTGAAAAGAATACATCATTGTCAGAGGAGAGAAATCAAAATAAAACTTGTCTTGTATCAGATACGAATTGGTTATCGACGCGATCGGGATGAACTTGACGACGGTGGCGGTGATCTTTTTGAAGGGCGACGAGACGATGAAGATCGTGACGGTGATCCATAACGACCAGATCCATTACGCGACGATGACGATGGTGGTGGCGAAGCAGCATAGCGACTAATGCAAGAGTATTAGATAGACGAAGGACGAAAGATTTCAGGTTTCATGTGCATATGCAATATTCTCTCCCTCTCGGTCATGTGTGTATCAATAAATGCAACTCTCGTAAAAGATTCCGTAGGACGACGAAGTTTTCCAAATAGTCATGAATGAACCGATTGGTTTAGCTCTTCTTTCTAGTTTTGTTACTTACCTTCGTGGCGGCCCCATTGAACTCGGTCCAGGTGGATATCCAGCGTAGGCATCATAAGCAGACCTGAAACGGATTACGACCAATGGGTATGTTCGAACGAACGGACAGATATTTCACAAAGATAGGAGGAGAGGGAGAGGAAGATGTAAACAAAAGGCCGACGAATTTTTGACATAGAACTTTTTCTGTGTTTTTCTTTCAATATGCACGGATAGCGACATACCGCATTGGAGGTCCACGTCCATAATGATCAGGCATAGGTATTGGCGGCGCTCGTTGATGATAGTAACCTTCGCGACCATACGGATCCCCACTGCTACTTCGCATACTGTACGGATCACCAGAGCGACTGTACAAATCAGGATAGTTTATAGGCGGTGGAGGCATACGTTGACGATCATAAGGTGAATCATACGGACGAGATCGGGCATCCATGTAACTGTTACGCATACTCGGGTACGATCGGTCGGGACCACCGCCACCTGAATAACCACCATTTCGACTAGATGACATCGACGGATAATCACGATTGCTGGAAAATCCAATATGAGATGTTTTATTGAATCCTGTCTTAACAAAAATAAAACTAACCGTGAAGATCGCATTGATCCCGATTCATATCGCGGAGATTCTGCTCGACGGCTAAAATTAATTCAAAGAAAAGCAAAACAAATATTAACATTCTGACATCTCTAGCAAACTCTTCGTTAGATCTTACGATGAACGACCAGCATTTCGAAGTTGTGTCGTTGATATCTAGTTTGAAAATTTTAATTAAACTGTACAGAAAAGCCGTTCATTGAATCATAACATACTTCGACTCTAATACGACTGCCTTTCAAATTAAAATCGTTTAAAGCTGCTATAGATGCTTTCGCTTTACTGGCATCTTCCATATGCTAGAAAAATAACAATCCAAATTCCATTTCTGACACATCCCACTCATCAAGAAAGAACTTACAACAAATGCATAGTCTTTGACAATGTCGCATTCGAGAACTTTACCGTACTTTTCAAATAGTTCTTTCAATTCAGTTGAACTAACGGATGGAGAAACATTTCCAATATAAAGTTTCGTCGGCATTGTGGAAATAACAAAAGAAAAGACAATAAAAATATATAGTGATGTCCAATCTACAATAGAGAATGGCTCGTCCTCACTGACATGAGCAGATGTCTTCGAAATTATAGAAACAAAACTTTCAGCCAATCATTTTTCAATACTTTTGTTCACTCGCCCATCTAATGCGAAACAATGTCTCCAAAATGACGTGATTCTATTCAAATCAATTATTCTTCTATAAATCGGTATCTTCCTTCTTTATTTCATGAACTAAATGTAGAAAAGTTTAAAACTAAACAAATATTCATGGGCTTCTCGCATATAGATGGCGCTAGTGTTCAATACAATGCATATGCCACCGATTAGAGCTGCAAAGTCGGTAATTAGCTGTATTTTTCCTTGTTGACATCTTACGAAAGTTCGATTATGCAATCCGAAGCACATCTCTAGAAGATTTCAACGATCAATTAAATCCGATTGACTTGTCAAACATATGTTCATCATTTTCCTGATGGTAAAAATATGCTAATCGACCACTTGATATTGTTCGACATAAAATGCAATAAGTTGAAGTGGTGATAGAAACAAATTCTGCATAATCTATCTCAAACCACTAAGCAATATACACCACATCGTCTAATCAGCCACGAGAATTCAATCGAGCATTCTCAAGTTCTATAAATATCCTATGCAACCTTTGAAAATCATTTCTTTGATGAAATTGAGGTAATAGGAAGAACTTGTGTCGAAACGTTGTTTTTTTTTTCCTAGACGGAATCGATGTATCGAGTTGCGTTTGCGGCAAAGGAAATTACAGTTGATGTGGATGGTTATTCCAGCATGAACTAATATCAGTGAGTAATGAAACAAGTCGTCCTTGAAAATATTGAGTCATTATTTGAGTATTAATAGAGAAGTCTTTATTTGCCGAAGTAAATATTGGCTTCAATAATAAATTGAATCAAAGTAGAAGAAAATAATCTTTTTCTTCGGTTCAGTTTTGCACGTGGAGCATTTTCTTTTGATTATATAATCAAATAATCATTAATGAAAATCAGAAACACGAAGAACATTTCTCAGATGCATGTCTCGATCGGATTGGAAAATAATTAGATGTCGGTTAGGAAGTAAAACTAAGCAAACTTGTTCTCTCTCATGTGTATGAAGATTAGATTGTTACAATATAAACGGAGAGAGAAAACTAAGGCGATGTTGGTTGTTTTCTAATCGTGATTTACGATTGAAAATGTCGGAAATAGAAGGATTTCTTCGTGTAATCTTAGGAGAATTCTTTCCACGGAAGATTTTCGCAAAATATTTTATTCAATGTCACCGTTGAAAAGATCTCATTTCATTATTCTCCTTCACAAAAGAAAATCATCTTTCATCACATACGATTTCATTTCTCAATCATCATACTTAATTTACACAAAATACACTCGATGTGTCATCGGCCATCCTCATCTTAGTCTTTCGCTAAACTCGACTTATTGTACTTGGAAGACTATCATAAATTGTCGATGTAGATTTGCTGTGCTTGTCTTGAGGAAAGAATGCGTAGTAATCTCAATTGAGACGGACTTATTGCAGATTAATTGTCTTGTCGACGAGCATTTGCCTGAGATTATGTCGATGATTTTTCGACAGCAGCGAAGAAAAACAAAGTTAGTTGAATGTGTTCATTAGACTAGGAAAATTTATTTCCGTTCGGACGAATGATTTCTTTTTCTTTTTTCTTCTTCCGTCTTCAAGAAACGGTGACACATTTCCTGGGTATTTTTTCAATAGATTCATAACAAGAAGAAGCAAATCAGCTGGTTTCTTTTTGCATTCAATCACAGCGATTTAATTGACTAGAAATGAACTTTTTCATTACGGGACAACATATGAAAAAAAAAACTAATCTTTGACTTCGACTCTCTGGAGATTAATCCTCATGTATTTCAATTTCTATGGCTGCACAGACATAAATGGTCAAGTATGACTTCGCAAATCCGTTAACTTACATTTCTTGATTGAATTTCACATTGATAGCTGACTTTTCATTTTCAGGGAAAACAATCAGCTGACAAAGCAGCTCGATTTCGCCAGATCATACATTAACCAATCGACTAACATTTGATTCACTTGATTGAATCTGACAAGAGCAGCAAAAAACGAGTCCGCAGCAACAGAACATCAAAGAACTACGGTTTTCTTTTCGGCTAATTTTATTGATTAAATACACTGATTTACTTGATGTTGTTATTATCCATTCTAGGGGAAAAAAACTTTTCAATTATCTAATTGTAGATGTGTTCGGTTTTGAACTCTTCCAGCCCATTCAATCGCTTATCATTCAGTAAGTTCATCTAAGTACATATTGACATCGCACTTGAGCGAATGATCTTTCTCCAGCGCGTTTTCCTGTTTATACAAGACGAACGATCGAAGGAAAGCGAGAAACATATACACACACAATAATGATCAGAAAGCATGCTAGACAGTAGTAGCAAACAAGCTAAAAAGACGTTTTTCATTCCACTTTTTTTTTCTTAGTCCTTTTTTTATTTGCGCGCGC